AGAGAAAAATAACAAAGGGGGGTTCAAGATGTAAATTACGAATGATGTCTTGAAACCAAAGGAGGATTCGAGTTGAAAACCTGAAAACGGCTCGAATACGAAAATTGGGCAGTTGAGGCGATCGCACGATTTCCTTGATAAGGCATCGCACAATCCGAGCGTGACCATGAAAACTGGGAATCGGAGAACACTTCTAATAGAGGAGCATGCAAGCTACCCCATCAAACCTTTGAGCATCAAATAAAAAAAATGCCAAACCTTTGACCAAACACAATAACCTGAGACTTTTTATCCTTTCCTTACTTAACCATTTCCCAAAAATAGCTTTGATCTTGGCACGTGTCAAATAGCTATAATTTATTGAAGGATTAACATTGTAATTAATTCTTTGATATCCAATGAACTCTAGTTTTATGTTTTGTCTCAATTGTAAAACCGTGAAAGGGGCAATATTTTCAAAACTTCTGATTAAACATTTTTCGAAACTCTTTTAATTGATATTTTCAAAACTTTGAAAATAAAAGAGAAACATTTTTTCAAACAAGACAATCTCTCTAGAGTGGATCTTGATAAATGACATGTGGCTCTCAGACAGTAATCTCATGCTTAAAATTAATGTTGAAGCAAGAAATGAGGAACAATAGGGGCACTTTTAATGTTGGGGCATTTTTGGAGATTCAACATTGAAATTGGGGCATCTCGGGGATTCAAAATCCTGATGCGAACGATCATATCTTCCGAAGGATTTTCCTCCACATGTAGGAACCATAGGCAAAAAATGAGATTCTATCCAAGGAATAAAACAAAACCTCATTCATTATGCATACATTTTAGAGCATCATATTTATCATTTTTCACATACATAAGTTTTGCAGCTTTAGAGTTAAGTTTCAACTTCAAGGCGAAAGATACTTGATTCAAAAGAGTTTGTAAAAATCGATGGTGTTTGCTTAACTCAGCAGCAAGAAGTCACACTTCAACCAACTCGACAGATTGAAAGATCGACATTCATCTTCAGATTCAACATTTCCAATATAAATTTTGTCTCGCTTGAGACAATCTCATTTAATGCAGATGATTATCTCACTTGAGATTGCTTTTCTTAAAACAGACTTTGTCTCACTTGAGACTGTTTCACTCGAAAGAAGGCATTTCATTTCACTCAAGATTGTTTTTAAAAAATAAGATTTTATCTCGCTTGAGGTAGTTTCCCTTGAAACAAAATTTGTCTCCCTTGAGACAGTTTCTCTTGAAACATAAAATGAATTTTGTCTCTCTTGAGATAGTTTCCCTTGAAACAAAATTTTGCCTCCCTTGAGACAGTTTCTCTTGAAACATAAACATTGAAAACATTTCCCTTGAATAAAATTTTGTCTCTCTTGAGACAGTTTCCCTTGAAACAAATTTTGTCTCTCTTGAGACAGTTTCCCTTGAAACAAAATATTTGAATATGTTTTATTTGAAACAAATTTCGTATCTCTTAAGACAATTTCTTTTGGAACTAAGTTTTGTCTCTCTTGAGACAGTTTCTCTTGAAACAAATTTCGTCTCTCTTGAGACAGTTTCCCTTGAAACAAAATCTTTGAATTTATTTCTCCTAAAACAAATTTTGTCTCCCTTGAGACAGTTTCTCTTGAAACATAAAATCTTCAAATTTATTTCCCTTAAAACAAAATTTTGTTTCCCTTGAGACCTTTTTCCATGAAACAACAGATATCTTTGAGATCGTTTCCCTTGAAATGAATTCTATCTCTTTCGAGACAACTTCTCTTGAAGCATCATCTGAACCGTTACACTTAGCTCAGACACATACTTGAGATGGTCAAGAAGCATTTCTCAAATCAAAAATAGAATGTACACATCAGATTTGAACATTTGAAGAATTCAAGATCAGGGATCAAAACTTGAAGATTCAAGAATCAAGATTCCAGACAGGCAACTGGAGATCGAGATTTCTCTCCAGATCCCCAAGATAACATATATTGCATATGCATTTTAGGCACACCTAAGAGCATTGCATCCATAGCATCACATATATGCATAATTTTTCAGGTTTTAGTTAGAGTCAATTTCAACTTCGCGCAAAGGATACTGAACTCAAAGCGACACAATTTGCTCGAGAGTATATTTCAACTTCACGACGGAGAATATCTAACTCGAAGCCAAACTTCACAATAAAGGGGTCATCCATGATTTCAACTTCACAGCGAAGGGAATCGTGTCCACCCGCAACATACAATACTTGGATTTCAACTTCACAACGAAGGATATTCAAGTCAAGGCTCAACTTCACGACAAAAGAGCCATCCGCGATTTCAACTCCACGAAGAAGGATATCACCCACACATCCACAATTTCAACTCCACGACGGAGGATATCGTGCATTTGAGGTTCAACTTCACGACGAAGGGGCTTCCCAGTTTCAGAGCCAATTTCAACTTCACAACGAAGGGATATTGGACTCAAGACAACACAAGCTCAACTTCACAACGAATGAGTGACTGATTGTCAACAAACAATTTTTCAGTTTCATTCAGAGTCAATTTCAACTTCATAACGAAGGATATTGAACTCGAGACAACACAAGCTCAACTTCACATCGAAGGGCGACTGGCTGTCAACAAACAATTTCCTAGTTCCAGAGCCAATTTCAACTTCACAACGGAGGATATTGGACTCGGAACAATACTACCCACTTAGATTTCAACTTCACGATGAAGGATATTCAATTACCAGGCTCAACTTCACCCACGGTTTCAATTTCACGACGAAGGGGAATCGTGCACACAAGCAGCATCCATCTCTAGATTGGATTTCAACTTCATGATGAAAGATATCCAACTCAATGAAGGGTTATCTATCACCAAAGACCTTCGAGTTCGATTATATTCAACTCAGAGGTAAACCAAATTTATAGCATAGCTCAAGGTAATAAGGGTTATCTGTCAACGAAAATTGTCGAGTTCGATTCCATTCAGCTCGATGACACCTCAATCACACTATTGTCCGGCTACAATCGAGGTTTTCAAGCCGAGAAAAAGATCTGGGTTAGCTGTGCCTTAGTAGCAAGAAGCCTTTTTTCCGTCAGCATAGCTTAAGTCGAGAAAAGCTATCTGTCAACGAAGACTTTTTGAGTTCGGTTTCATTCAGCTCGAGAGTATATCAACCACATTGTGGAGTCAATGGATTACTTTCCAGACGAATTTTTAGCCAAGGTCTTTAAACCGAGAAGAATACCAAAGTGGACTACAACGAGAAGCCACATTCTGATTCAAATCATTTCAAGATGGACTCGACTTCGTGACGGAGGAGCCATCCGCAACTCAATTCAAAAGGGAGTTATTCTTCAACTCCACTTAACAAAAATTTGTGTCTTTTTATCTTTGTCCTATTTTTCGTTCCACGAAAAAGGACAAAGAGGGGCAACTGTAGACACTCATTTTCTTAAAAGATATAACTAGCAAGAGTTCATCTCCTAAGAGGACTCTTTCACCACCATATCTTTAAAGCAACAACCACACCAACAAACGTGCAACAACCGAGCAAGGAGTCTAATTGCATTAGGATTCTATTGTTAATAGGATTCTAAAAATAATTAGTTTTTTTCACTATAAATACATGTAATCCTCCTCCTTTGTAACACAGGATTTACATACAAGATACAGAGGAAAGCACGAAAAAATACAAAGGCAAAGCTATTGTAAACGATTCGAAAAGGAAATAAAATGTAGCATCTTTTTTTTACATTGATTCGTTCATTTCTCGCATGTGCATGTTATTTTTCTTGAGATTTGGTTTGAATAACCCAAAACGTGGGTTGCGCCGTTGATCAAAAAGGGGTGGGGTTTCGAAGTTTCGAATCTAGATATACTCCCGAGGCATGTTCATTTTTTAAAAGTATTTAATATTCCCCCTAAGTCAATCTAATCTTTAATTTACCTTGAAATTTACCTTTTAATTTACCTTTTATATTAATTCCGTCCCCTATATATATTTTTAATTATATTTTTTATTTATTTACTATATTCCTTTTTATTTATATATATTTTTATTATATATATCTTATATATATATATGTATAGATGTATTAATTTTCTTCATTTACTATGTATATATATTTTTTCTTAATATTATATTTTATTCGTTTTATTATATTCTATTTTTTTATTTATTTATATATTATATTTTTACTTTATTTTATTTTTTTTCTATTATTTTTTTCTTAATATCATGTATATCTTTATTTTTTATTTGTTTTACTTAGTATTATATATTTATTTTTTTTATTTTTTTTAGTAAAACTACTTTATATGTACACATTATTTTTATTCATTTTTAATTTCTTTTACCTTTTTTATTTTTTACTCCATTAATATTTTCTCTTTATCTGTGTCTTTGTTTTTTTAACATTTTATTCATTTTGTTTATTTTTATTTTTATTTTTTATGTGTTTTGTTATTTTTCATTTTTTCTTGTTTTATTTATTATTATCACGTTTGCACACTTGCTATCCTAATTTGATTTTATACTCCGCTACGAGTTAAATGTTTTTATCTTTTAAGGGTATTCAAATCAATCAATTGTAAGTAATTTGAATCGGGTCTATTAAATTTTAATTTTAATTTCGAATTTTCGCAACTAAGACAACCGGCAAATTAATTGGTACCGAATGGGCGATTCAAGGGTACTAATCATTCCTTAACCGTAACCGACTCCCGAACCCGACACATTTTTGGTAAAAACGCAGATCAGGTAAGATGGTGTCCGACCCACCTAAATTCGTTTTAAAATGGTTGGTGGCGACTCCAATCCACATTTTTCAAGTCGAAGCCCAATTCCGAGACCCAACCGAAAGACGGTTACGACAATCTTATTATAGTATATATATATATATATATATGATGTAAAAAATTAAAAATTTGTGTACTCGTAATGTGTGTCTCTAATGATGCCCACACAATAGTTCCGTGCATACGTGACATTGATATATCCAAATTAAATAATACGAAACATGCATATTTTATTTCAAGGATAATACATTAGAATAGCGTAGTTCCTCTACATCCAATGAGTACCCTTTACTATAGGGTATTTGATTCTCATTAAAGGACAATGCTCAGGGTCAATTGGTGCAATTGCCCCAACTTAAATGTTGAGGAGGTACGGTTTTCAGCACCGGACTGTACTCAAAGAAATTGGTAGGTTTAAGCTCAAACCCGCCACTCAATGTGGGCATCATTGGAAAATCCTCTTGGCAAGGCACATGGTGGAACCCCATGGTGTACCAAACCACAATGTCCTTGTTCTCGATGTTCCTGTTCTTCTCCGTCCACACCGCTAAAGTGTCGTCTCCTCGACTCTGGTCAACGTATCGTCCGCCCGCCCATTTCTCCGACTTGTTATACGGAGTTACCCACACGTTATAATTTGTGAAAGCACCTCGGATTTGTGGGTAGTCATCGGTGGCGAGGAGTGGTCCGACTGCAGAGCCGGGGACCAAACGGTACCCAACTGTGTTCCCAGGTTTAGTTTTCTTGTTAGGGTTAACCACTAAGAGTTCCGGTGAATTCAACCCGAGTTGGATCTGTGCATCGGATTCGGTTTTGACTATTTCGTGTTCGAAGTTCCAATAACTTTTTCTTGGGATGTTCTTGTCCTTGACTCGTTTGGTGATCAAATGGGTCTTCACGAAGGAATTTGCGTCGCCATCGACATCGAGATCGAGATGGTATGTTAGGAAATGATCGTGGTTCACCCCAATGGTGTTGTCTGTTACTAATGTACCGTAAATTTCCTCTTTGATTTCGTCGGTGTTAGTGTAGGGTACTGCCTTCACTTCCAACACTCCTGTCAGACCAACCTGGGGGCATGGAAGACAACATAGGTAGAAAAAATTGAAAGCAAATAAATCAATAAATTAAAGAGAATATTATTATCAAAAAAATATCTAAATTCGAATAATTATGTTTGTAGGTTTATGTACAACATTAATATCAATAGATTAATTTTTTTAAAAACAATCTCTACCTCATAATGATTTCATATTTATAATTAAAATTTATATCTTCTAATAAAACTATCTCTATTTGAACACGTGCAAAATTTGGTCATAATCAAAATGTGGACCCCTAAAACACTGCACAGCAATAGGATCATGTTTCCATTTGCAGCATAAACTACCAAGAGCCTTAAAGTCTTGCACTATTTTGGAGCTTGAGTTTATATATGAGTTGGACAAAACCAATAATTTTTTTATCTTTTATCTCAATAAAAAATAAAAAGGAAAATACCCCAAATTTAATGGACCCAGTTGGCTTGAACTCCCAATCAAGGACATAGTCATAGTTGCCCACAGTTGCAACCATTCTCACCACAAGGCTAATATCTGGTCTCGCTTCTCTAATCTGCGGTATCAAATCCAAGTCAATTCGAAAATAAATAAATTGTCATATATTTTAAATATATTTTTTATAATTTTTTATATTTCCAAAATTAGAATCAATTACTAATAATAAATAAACCTTTTGATCTCGAAGCTCAGCCTCAGTATGTCGCCACATTACATCACCAGAATGCCTTTCGAATATGCACATTACGTCCTGTACCTTCACGGGTTTACCATCTTGGCCTGCATAGTAACCATCCACAACACTGCATTGGATGGACAATCGTTGAAGGGTTCCAATGGAACTGCATAGATTCCGAACCCGAATTCACCGCAATCGAAGAATGTTATGTGGTACCATTCTTCAGTCGGATCCTGATACGGAACGAAGAGCTCCGAGATAAACGATCGATACATGATTTGACGATACTTTTTCTTATCGGCATCGTAGAAGGAAGCTTGAGAGATTACAGGACCAACTCGAGCATCAAACCCTAGATGGAACTTCCAGTTCGCCCAGCTGTTGAAATAGAAAAATAGAAAAGAAATATTAAGCATATAAATATATATATTAAACTCTAAACCATAATACCTTGTACCAAGGCAGTGTGACAATTTTTACATCAAAATAATTAGTCTCACCTAACAACATTTCCGTCAAATTCGAAACTTTTTTGGCCCGGTGGGGTTGGCGGAGCAGCATTAAAACGTGGACCGAAAGGCGGTGTTATCTTCGATGCACGATAATCGGTTCCCGTAGCTTTAGGCATCGGAGGCACCGCTCGGTCGACGAATTCCGATATCTTCATTTGTTCGATATCGACAACAATGGTCATCCCTTCTATTGGTCTCACATACATATTAATCGTCCCATTCAAATAGAAACATATGATTTTCAACTCACGTGTTGTTTTCACTTTCCCATACCAACCAATCGTTTGAGTCGAGCATGTGACTTCGGATATATTAAGCCCTCTTCGTTTAATAGATGCTAAAAATGGTTCATACTTAAGGGTTAAATCCACAGCACCTTCTTGTTCTTCGATGGTGAGTAACGGGTACCCCAACCCACCGTAGAGTTTATCGGAAACGATCGAGCGTATCGATAAATCTACGATGAGTTCACGAGTTTTTTGGTCGACCCCGATAACAACAAGTGCTTGGCGAGGTGGAGGTTTGGAGTAGGGTTTTGATAGCCATGATTTCACAAGTGGTTTTTCAGGTTCCTCTAAGCCTACATACTGGAAGGTGAGTTTGTGTGAGTGGTAGGGTAGGACTGAGTCACAATGGCTCGAACTAGGAGGAACTCGGAGGGAGAGAGCGAGTCTAATGGGTGGAGCTTAGAGGTGATAGGGGAGATGAAGAAGATAGTGAAGATGGAGAAGAAGAATAGAGTTATTTTCAATGGTGAAGCCATTGTTATCACTTGAAAAACCTTGAGCCTCTAGTTGCCCTTAAATAGCCAAATTATTTAATGCAACTTGGAATTTTTTAAAAATATATATATTATATTATTTTAAGGAAATTAATGAACTGAATATTATTTTAATTTTTTTTTTGATCCAGGTTTGTAAGTTCATGCTCATGGCAACAAAATAATTAAGAGTTCCGTTATTAAAAGAAACGTTTATTGTAGGTGAGTTAATCATTGATGTGTAAAATACGTTTTTACTTTTTACCGTTAAGTAATTGATCTACCGTGTTGAACTTGGAAAATTCTAGAACGTATTGCATACACTGGAATTCACGTTAATTTTCTAGGGTAAAATTCAAAAATAGACATTAAATTATTTTAAAATAAGATAAAATAACCTCAGTGACCAAAAATCCCATATAATATACGATTTTAACCAATTTTTCCGGATTTGCCAAAATGACCAACAAAATCGCAATGCGATCGCTAATTCGCAACGCGATCTCCATTATCGCAAATCAGTTTCCAGATTCGCAACGCGATTATGACTATCGCAATGCGATTTTCCAATTTCGCGTTGCGATTTTCCTAATTCGCAATGCGAATAAGTAAATCGCAATGCGAATTTGGAAAATCGTAATGCGATACTGACTATCGCAATGCAATTTTCCTAATTCGCATTGCGATTTACGTATTCGCGTTGCGATTTTCATAATTCGCAATGCGAATACGTAAATCGCAACGCGATTAAGTAAATCGCAATGCGAATTAGGAAAATCGCAATGCGAATACGTAAATCGCAATGCGAATCTTACTATCGCAATGCGATTTACATAGCTCCATTCGTATTAACGCATATTTTTTTTTCAAATTCCAAACACGAATTTTTTCTTAATATATCGGAAATTGAACCGTCCACAGTAATCGCAACTCATAACCTCAAACCTAAAATCACAACACTCAGTCCCATCTCTCACTCTCTACGGCGAAATCCGTCCCCATCTACGAAGATTTCCGTCCCCATCGCCGGCGAAATCCCTCACAACCATTCACGGTTAGAAATCCCTCACAATCATTCAGAAATGGAAAATCAACCTCCGAATGTTAGTTTCTTTAATTATTTTTATTTTGAAATTTTTGCATTATTTTAGGTTTTTCATATTGAAATTGATGATAAGTTTACTGGTAATTTCAATAATAGATTAACCATTTCACTTAGATTTCTTATTAAATTCATTCGATTGTGTCAATACTGCTAAACTGTTTAGTATTTAACCCTGTGAAGTTAGTATTTGTCTTTTTTGTCTTTTGGTTGAAGTAATGCAGAAGAAGAATAGTTTCGAGAATGAAAATCGCAACGCGGAAATAACTATCGCAACGAGAGAATCGCAACGCGAAATGAAAATCGCAACGAGATAATCGCAACACGAAACCAAAATCGCATTGCGATTTTCATTTCGGGTTGCGATTTTCATTTCGCGTTGCGATTTTCATTTCGCGTTGCGATTCTCTCATTGCGATAGTCATTTCCGCGTTGCGATTTTCATTATCTCGTTGTGATTTTCATTTAAACCAAAAGACAAAACAGTGTTGCAAATTTTAGTTTCAAGAATAAACTACTATTTATGTTTATTGTTTTTGGTATATCTTCACAGTGTAGGTTTTGGTATATCTAACTTGGTATGTTTATTGTTTTTGTAGAAATTTTTTTCGGCTTCATTGACATTAAGGAATAAAGTTAGCCTAGCCACTACAATTGCTTCGAAGATTTCACCTGCACAAAGAAAATTGTTTGAGGAAACCTGCTTCGGGCCATGGTTGAGAGTACAACATCCGGGTGGAGATGCGAATTTGACCCATTTGTGGCTTCAGACCATGACTAGCGATCTACCTGACAGTATACAAAGTGGTGAGGAAGAGATATGGTTTCATTTTCCACCGGGTATACTTGTTTTGGGCGGAAGGAGTTCTGCTTAATCACTGGTCTACGATTCGGACACGATGATGTAGGCCAGTACACTCGTCATATCACCCGCCCATCATGGTTATCCAGGGTTTTTCCTGATGAGTCAATAGAGAAGCCGAACTTACACGTCGACGACCTGAAGAAATTGTTTAATAAGAAAGATGGTTTTACTCGGATGAATGACGTCGATGTTGTCCGAGTATGCCTTCTACTACTTTTGTATGCCGGCTTTTTAGGCAGAGAGGCCAGACAACCTATTCCTCAGGAGCTAATATTATTGGTAGATGACCTAAATGCATGGAATCTATTTCCGTGGGGTTTTTATATATGGAAAGCTACCTGGACTAAGTTGTCGTCTGCCTTTGATGACCGCAAAAGTTTGCGGGGCGATGGGTCGAAATACACTTTGTCAGGCTTTGTTTGGGCCTTTAAGGTAAGAATTTCTATAATGTTTTCAAAATTATAATTAATTATTTAACAATTACTAATGTTTGTTATTATATTGTTTGTAGATTTGGATATTCGAGGCTTTCCCCAGCATGCGGACATATGCATTAAAAACCTCAAATGATATTCCTAGGGCTATTTCCTGGAAGAGGAAACGTCTGTTGGATTGGGAAGACTTAATACCATATGCGATAATAAATAATGTAAGTTAACACAAATACTATCATATATAAACAAGTTATTAATAGTAGACGTTTAACTTTGTTGAGTTTTTATATTTTTAGGAGGCCAACATTCTATTAATGAGACTGACACCCACGGAGGCTGAGCTTGCCACTGATTGGTGGCAAGCTAGTCAGCGTTTTCTTGATGGCACGAATGATGAGCAGCCTCCACTTCCTCCACTTCGAGAGCCATCACCTCACCCAGAGCCATCACCTGATCGACCCGACTATACACCTCTACAACGAGAGCCATCACCTATCACATCACATCATCGAGCCTCTTCTCCACCATCACCTCATGATAGGTGACCGGCAAAGATGCCACGACTTCTATCTCCCTGTTCTCCACCTCCACCTCCACGGGATGAGTCAAGGGAGTTACGTGATGAGGTCAATGCTTTGCGTGAGGAGATCGGTACTCTACGCGATAACGATTGTGCATGGCGTGTGGAGGTGTCTACTTTACGTGGTGAGGTTGCCGCTCTACGTGAGATGGTAGTATCGTTGTAGAATGAGGTTCATACTCTACAACGAGGTAAGTTTAAGATTTTCCATATTTAACTTGATGATAAATTTACTCGTAATTTCACTTAGATTAACCATTTCACTTAGATTGCTTAGTAAATTTATTCGGTTGCTGCCAATACTGCTAAACTGTTTATTAACACTGTGAAGTTAGTATTTGTCTTTTTGTTTTGTCTTTTGGTTGAAGTAAATTTATTTGGTTGCTGCCAATTCTGCTAAACTGTGTATTCTTTAACACTGTGAAGTTAGTATTTTGTCTTTGTTTTATCTTTTGGTTGAAAGTTTGAAACATACTTGTCTTTGTTTTCACTGTTTAAATATCATGTCTGTTTATTTACTGATATTTGTATTTAATTATTTAGCGGACCGATAAGGTAGATGCTTTACGTCGGGTTTTTCTTGCACGATAGAGTTCGCGCATCAGACGGCGTGCACGTGCTATTAAGTCTCCGTACACCCCAATAGTGCGAAGACACCGCAAGAATAAGCCCGACTCGCCTGTCATCCCTCAATAGTCCACTCTTATCGTTGAAGAGGCCCCTATCATTCCTCGAGAGTCCCCTCCCACCGTTTAAGAGGCCACTGTCATCGTTGAAGAGGTCCCTCCCACCATTCAAGAGCCCGATTCACATGGCGTCATATGTAGGATTCTTGAGAAACCCTCTGACGTGCCGGACATGATGGATTCAAGTTGGCTCTCGTATGAGTTACCTGCCAGTACCATACCGGTATCTGAAGTGGAGAGGAGACAACTACCGGACACAATTCTGGATAACACCCTTTGGGCTAAGACCGCAGTTGATTTTTATCTACATGAGCGGAGCCAGGGGTGTTTCACTGACATATGCAAGCTCAACGATGATATCTATTTGTTGCTTGATCGGTCTTAGTAGGGCGTATTATTAGGGGTCGAAGACAATGGCTATTTCGATGGAGGGGTAAGTCTTATATTTTTCTTATATTTTAATTTGATTATTTTTTTTAAATTTATGTAAGTTACTAATGTGTATGTCTTTTTGTAAAACAGTATATCGATGCGTGGGTGTCACGTCTTCTAATAATTAGGAAACTTAAGGAAAATAAAAGAAATACACGATATACAATTATGCCGACGTCTTTTAACGCCGTTCACTTGAAGAATCAACGAGATGAATCATTTGCGTTGGGCAATGGACAAGCTAAACTTTATCCTGCATGGTGGGAGGTCGATAAGGTTAGTATTTATTTTAGATTGAGTTTAAAGTTATTCATAAATAAGTGCGCAAATGAATGAATTATTACTTATGATTGTAGGTGTTTATCCCTGTTTTGGAACGTAAACATTGGCTTCTCGTCGAGCTTCAGATCCCATCCCTTAAGGAAATAGTATATGACAACATGATAAATTACATATCATTGGTCGATTTAAAAAGATATTATTAAGGGATGGAGCTCTCATTTGGCTAAATTCTTGGATGCGATAAATTATTGGACTCGTTCTGGAAATAAGAAGCCAAAGAAGCTCAATATTACAGTTAGCAGAGACGAGACCGCACCACAACAAACGAAAGGACCCAGAGGGGATTGTGGTCCTCTCGTATGCTTGGCGTTGGAGTGTTTGATCACAGGAAGTATAAAGTATCTACCTCCCACCGATAGAGATAGAGCTGCAGTAGGCTTGTGGTTTCGGCATTATATGGCTAGATCGATATATACGAGACGCTGCCTACCTGCATCTGCGTTATAAAAATGTCCATAAACAATTGGTAAGTTTATAGGCTTGTGGTTTGAAAATGTTTGGTTAAGTACCTAGAATTCAATAATTTGCTGTTTGTAGGTTTTAGATGTGTAGAAAGTGTTGTTTG